TTCTTAAGTGATCTTTTTATTATTATTATTATTATTATTATTATTATTATTATTCATAATATTATTCACACCTGTGATTTTCCTACTTTGTCTTCTGTGAAAAAGTGGTTTCTGATTTTTTTTTTCACAAAGGGGAACACAGGACAAGTGATTTACACAACAGATGTGTATATGGTTCCCAACCTGGGGGTCGGGACCCCCATTAGGTGTCGGCAGAGCTTCACGGAGGGTCGCGAGGTGTTGATTTTAAGTGATGTTAGAAAACTAAAAAATATATACATTAGGCCTATTTCTCTGGTTCACTTCTGTGAAGAAATCTATATGTAAGTAAATGATCTTATAGAACAATGGCCGTCAGACTGAAACAAATTTTATAGATCCTACTTAATTTTAATTGAACTTGATTGTGCTGTAAACAGTATTTTCTCTTTCTTCTCTGTTTAGTGGCCAAATGCGAATTCTTCAATGCAGGAGGCAGCGTGAAAGACAGGATCGCCCTGCGGATGGTAGAAGATGCTGAGAGAGCTGGGATCCTCAAACCAGGAGACACGATCATCGAGCCCACCTCTGGCAACACGGGTACCTTCTAAGGAAACATACAGATTTTGTCATCTGAACACAATATTACCTAAATCCTCCTTCTCTGGCTGCCTGCAGGTATTGGCCTCGCGTTGACCGCAGCAGTGAAAGGCTACCGCTGCATTATCACCATGCCTGAGAAGATGAGCATGGAGAAGGTACACAGCTCTTTTATTGATCACAACTCTTCATCAGTTCATTATGGGACACTTGGTCTCAGTGTGTAACATTTAGGAGGATCTACTGGCAGCAATGGAATATATTATAGATGTGTTTTTATTATTTTACTGCTAAATGCCACTAAATCCAAAACAATGGACCTTTAATTGAAGCCTGATGTTCCTGTGTGATTTTAGGTCGATGTGTTGAGAGCTCTCGGGGCAGAAATAGTGCGCACACCTACTTCTGCAGCTTTTGATTCACCAGACTCTCATGTAAGAATGGCTTGGCGGTTAAAGAACGAGATCCCCAACTCACACATCCTCGACCAATACCGTAATGCCGGCAATCCTCTGGCTCACTACGATACCACAGCCGAGGAGATACTGGAGCAGTGTGATGGTTTGTGCTAAAGATTCTTTTTCTTTTTCTCTTTGTCCATAAAAAAACAATAATGAAGACTTAAATTCACACAGTATCAAAAAAACAAGATTGTATATATAGATATAAAGATAAGGAAATAAGTGACATAATTCTAAATATGAAAAGGTAGACAATAAAATAAAACAAATCAAAAAAGGTCCTAAAACAGCGACAGCAAATAATATCTACTGTATGTGAGATTCATTTTAAATTCAAATTCTGGTGTCTCCGACAACCACTGGTGCTCTTGGAGGGGAAATAATGTAGAAAGAGTGATGGGCTGCCACGTAGCGGAGGTTAGGTGTCTTGCTCAAGGGCACCTCGGCAGTGCACAGGAGATGGAACTGGTGGAACCCTCTGGTCCCCAAGCCAAGTCCCTACAGACTGAGCTACTTGGCCTCGACGCTGCCCAGCACTGCTGAGCTGACATCAGTTTCTGGTTCCGGCCGATCCCTGCTCCTCGTTTGTCATCGGTGGTTTGGCAGGCACCTGCTCCTGGTTCTCAGTTGGCCGTTGGCTGACACTGCTTCCTGATTCTCCATCTGTAGACCGTCAAACTCCTCGTTGCTCGTCTGCGGTTCCACCGACACCTGTTCCCTCTGAGCTGCAGCAATCTCCAGTCCTTGCACCACAACATCCTCCAGTTTCTGCACCATGACTAACCCCAGTTCCTACGCTGCAGCAGTCTCTGGTGGATTAGCAGCAGTCTTCTGTTTCCCTGATTCAACTGGATCTTCTTCCTGCACTCCAGCCACCACTGACTGGTTGTGCCCTCCTGGAGGGGTCCCACCACCTTCGTCACCGGCCACCAGAAGTGTTCCGCCTTTGCTTCCGTCTCTGGCCTCCTTGGCCTCTGGAGTGTTTCCACCAGTCTGGTCATCACCCTGCCCGTCCTCCAGAGCGGCTCCACCGGTTTGGTAATCCTCCAGAACTGCTTCCGCAATGCCGCCAACATCCATGGTCTCATCCAGAGCTGCTCCACTCTTCAGCCCTACCTCCTGGTCATCTTCCTGAAGTCACCTGCATGTTCAGCTTCCCTGCCACTTCCCTTGAGTGCCTCCTCCAGACCCCTCCACTCAGTTTTTTGGATTACTGCCTGTTTTTGACTCTGCCTTTGCCTTTCCCCACTGGATTTGTTTGCTTGTGTGGACCGACCTTCTGTGTCAAAAGGTCTTGAGGGTGTTCCCAGAAAAATGGGAATATTTTAATTTCACTATTAAAATATTTTCACGCTCTCCACTGTTAATGTGCCTATTATGGAATAACTAAAGACCGAGATCCCCGAGACTACACCTTATAAATATGGGTCCACTGCCTGAAGGGTTGAAAACAACTGCTTGTATTGGACAAATTAAAATATTAATAAGAGTCATCATATGTAAAGGTGCCCTGTGGAGTTTCATGGTAAACAAACAAAAGTTATGTTTATATTCAGTGTTACTACTGAATCTCTTTTTGCAGATTAGAAAAGAAAACATGCTTTTTCCTTTCAGGTAAACTGGACATGTTGGTGGCCGGAGCTGGCACAGGCGGTACACTTACTGGTGTTGCTCGGAAGTTGAAGGAGAGGTGCCCCAATGTCAGGGTAAGACCCAAGCTCTATTGTGATCAGGAACCTCTTTGAATGTGTATTAATTTGCTAAATCTATGGACATGATTAAAGTGAGATTCGAATGGAGAACATGTGATGTACAGATAAGGTCACATATTTTTAAGGCATTTCGAATAATAACAAAAAAGGTATTCAGCTCCAGCTCATATAGAACTAGTTGTTGAAGCAAAATGTATCATTTCTTGTATGTTTTCTGTAGTCATGTATTATTGTGCATTTTAAGACAATGTATTTTTCTTCTCAGTGCACCAATGAGTTGAATAACACTGATGACCAATTGTATGATACATTTAACAATGATGCCCTTTTCTATGATACATTTGTGTGTTAAAAACTTGCTGCCTGTGAAAGATTGGATACTCTTTTTCTCTCCCTTCCTGAGTTCAAGGCTGAGATGAATGGAATGTATTCCAAGATTACAGAAAGTGACAATTTCTGCACCTCTGGGTCAGACCTGCAACTTACACTGTGTATCAGCTCTGTCCTTTCAGCTGAGATAGATCGACTTTGTTACTCTCTCATTATCTGGCTTTATTAAATAGACTAAAGACAACTGTTTGTTGTATCATCACACTAGTTTCTTTACTAACAAACCATACAGAATACCCTGACTGCATCAGTGGAGCCATGCACATGCTCATTTAAACATTACTAAGTAACTGGAAGTGTACTCATTTATGCTACAGTGTTTCCAGTCTTAACACTGCTGACTCCTTTGTTTTAGATAGTTGCTGTGGACCCTGAGGGCTCCATTTTGATTGAGTCAAAAGAAAAGAGCGAAATGAAGACTTCTTTTGAAGTGGAGGGCATCGGATACGACTTTATCCCCACAGTGTTGGACAGATCTGTAAGTGTGCTTGTGAATGTCTGCATTTGCTTTCTTGAAACTGAACAATAATCATGTATTTTGTGACTTTAATTACTGCTCTGGTGCCCTCTTCCCTTCAAATCTATGCAGCTTGTTGACATGTGGTATAAATCAACTGATATGGAGACCTTCTCCATGTCACGCAAGCTCATCAGAGAGGAGGGTCTTCTGTGCGGTAAGTTATATCACTGGTGATATAGGTCAGGTTTTCTTGCTATTGTAAATTTTATTGCATTCCTCATATCGAGGCGTCGAGGTTCCTCTAATTATACCTGTTGCACTGCAGGCGGGAGCTCTGGCTCAGCCATGGCAGCAGCAGTGAAGATGGCTCAGCAGCTTGAGGAGGGACAGCGCTGTGTGGTCATCCTGGCCGACTCAGTCCGCAACTACATGTAAGAGACAGATTTACCAAACTCTTGGACCCTTACTTTTATTGTTTCTACAGTGGATTATTGATCCATTGCTATCAAATTTACCATGGCCTCAGTGTTATCCTTTTTTACAGGCTAATCTGCAGCTATAATTTGCTCGTCATTAGAGGACGGAGAGACACAGAAGAGAAAAAAACAGTATGCAGCAGCTCAGCAAATCAAAACTACACAGCGCCTTTTCTTCATGTAAAAAAGATGATGAATACAAATATTCAATAGTCAATTTTTCTAGGGTAAATCCAGAAAATAACAGAACATCTAGACACTGACACATTTGTGTCGCAAGTCTGACTAAAACTCTCTGGGTGGTGAAAATGTGTCAGCAACCAGAGCGACCTCTAATATGCTTTGTTAACTGTTCAAACTCATTGCTGTCTGTTTTACCTTCAGGTCGAAGTTCCTGAGTGACAAGTGGATGTGTGAGAAGGGCTTCCTCAGCCCGGAGGCTCTGCTGGATTTTAAACCCTGGTGAGTCAACCATGAGGGTTTAAAGGTATAATATGTAACATTAAAATGTCTGTGTTATGTTTATGTTGTATATTCTGTTAAGTTGTGTACTTACATTACCCCAAATGTTACCGACAATGTTCAATCCCAGAGAAATCTGTAGTTCTATTTAAAACAATGTTGCGTTTCATTTGGTCACCTGTCAATGGCGTCATTTCCCCTTTGCCCCTCTAGTTGCTATAACTTCTGGGGAAATGTCTGAGTGAGGAAGGAAGTCTGCAAACGTGACTAAACGTGAATAAAACTTTAATACATTACCTCACCTGTGAACATTATTTCTGCCTGAGTCACGTCAAATAGATAGTTTTTCATTGGCAGTGGTGGTTGTTTAACAATGAAGACAACTCCCATGATCCAATGCTACTTCACAACGTCATCAAACTATGTCTGTGTCAGAGACACCTAGCAGCAGAAATTACATACTGTGTGTTCAACAGGGCAGCTAATCCAAACCACAGATTAGTGTTAAATAACTTGTTTCACTCTCTCTTTAAGGTGGTGGAAGATGACTGTCCAGTGTCTACACCTGTCTGCCCCCCTCACTGTGTTACCTTCTGTGTCCTGCCAGAAAACCATTGAGATCCTCAAGGAGAAAGCGTTGGACCAGGCTCCGGTCGTTGATGAGTCAGGGTATATCTTCTCAAGAATTTCTGTACATTAGTACATCTTCAGTATCAAACTCATCCAGACAGAGCAAACAGGAACTGCTAGTAACCAAAGCAGCAGTGGGACTTTCCATTAAGGGGGAGGGGGGACTTGTGTTGGCTTACGTTCAATATTCTGCCAAGATCATTCTCAAAAATGTTTCATCTGGTTTTACCAAATTTGTTGTGAAGATAAAGGTCAACAGATGTTCCACAGGTGTTATTTTTACCTCATGGCCCGATATTGAAGCCTGGCTCCTTGACAGGAGACAGAAGACTGAAGGAGCTGAAGTTAGGGACTGTCTCAAAAGTGCATGCAAAGAGCCAGCAGAGCTTTTCAGATTATTGTTAACAGCTTTCTTCATTTCATAGATACTTCAGACCTACATCGCATTCATCTGGACCTCGTTCAATTGCATGCAATCTCAGATAATAAGACAGATAATATGGCCAAATTGTGTTTAAACCTGGGTTGACTTCAACTGTTCATTTCTGTCAGTTACACAGCTTTACTTATACTCAGTTTAGACTATTTTGGAAGGTGAGTTCAAATTCAAATCCTGTTATTATCTGTTTAATTGTACATAATGTGCTATTTTTAATATTTCGTTGGTAGAAAAAAATGGCGGTAGAAAATAATTAAATGCAGAACATGAAGCAAACTACACAATTTCTAAAAACCTTTGGTGTGTGCCACTTCTGGTATTCACAGATATACAGATACAATCAGTATCTTTTGTGTTACACTCCTATTGTACATCACTATCTCCTGTGTTATTTCTAATAGAGGACCAGCAGGTGGTGATGATGTGTGTGTGTGTGTGTGTGCGTGCGTGCGCGTGCGTGCGTGTGTGCATGCTTTCACAGTGTGATCCTGGGGATGGTGACTCTGGGAATCATCCTGTCCTCCGTGTCGGCTGGCAAGGTCAAACCCTCAGACGCTGTCATCAAGGTGCTCTGCAAGCCTTTCAAACAGGTCAGTCAGTAGAAACACGTGGAGTGGACGGCCACATGGACAGCATATATGCACATTATACATCATGTATTCATTATTTACATGCTCGTCTAATCTCCGTACACTTCAGGTGCACATGACAGACAACCTGGGAACGCTGTCCCACATCCTCGAAACAGACCACTTTGCCCTGGTGGTGCATGATCACACCCAGTGTAAGATAATAGATTTTGTTATAGCCTTTTGTTTGGCAATTTGCATTTATTTGATTGGAGATAGTACATATGTGTCAGGAAATGAGGAGAGAGAGGCAACAAACATCCCTAGCTGAACAGAAGAAGTTGACAGTAGACAGGATGAGCTGATCCAGGCTGTGAATGTGATAAAAGTCACTATTATATATTTATTATGGATTTATATGCAGATTCTTTTTCTCAGTTAATCAATTAAAATGTACAATATGTCGAACAACAGTCCAAAATATTCAAATTACTATCACATAATTCAAAGAATTGCAACAAATCTTCACATTTAAGAAGCTGGAACTTTTGAATTTTGCTTAAAAAATAACCTAAAAAGCCTAAATTGAAGCTTTTTTAGGAGTTTTGTAACAAAAAGGTCTCCATGGTTTTAAGATGTACACATTATCCAATAGAATCAGTGTGAATATTTGGCCTACAGTATGTTGATTTGTCAAATTTCCTACCCAGCAGTACACTAAATACATAATTTGAGCATTTTTGTCATTCAGTTGTCTGTGAAATCCACTATTACAAACAAGGAACCCATCAATGTCTCTCGCACTCCCTCTTTTGCAGTTGGGGCTTATATTTAATACAAAAATATTAATGGTATTGATCTTTTCATCTGACTCTCAGCCAGAAAGAAAACAACATATTTCACTGTGCCCACCTTGTTAGCACCTTGTTTTTGTCCATCCTGCTCCTACCACAGTCTACTGTCTCTCTCCAGATAATGCTGATGGGTCTGCTTGCCAGAAGCAGATGGTGTTTGGCGTTGTGACAGCGATCGACCTCCTCAACTACATCACCACACAAGAGAGGCAGGATTGCTTGTCGTCTGAATGCTCGCTGTCAGACGCAATGTCTCTGTCATCAATTTCTGTTTAAGACGACAAACAGCAGCACGAGCACCTGTGGTTTAGTCTAGTCATGTTTATTTCAGTGTTTCTGTGGCTACATCTTGATTAATTGAGTTTGGTAGCAGTAGTAGGTCCTCTGTAGTATTAATGTCTAACATTATGAAATCAGCTCTTTTTTTGAGTAACGTTTACTAAAAACTACAATGCCCAGCTGTTTGAGTAAATTAGCTATCCTTTAAATAAATGTAACTATATATTTCTGATGTAACTATATATATTTAGATTTACATCTTAACTAGGAGCAAATGAGTTTAGGGTCTGAGTGCCACAGAGTGAGTAGGGAAGCCAGTAAGTATTCAGAGAATAACACAGTGTTGGTTTTGGATTTTAATGGGATTTGTTGACAATAAGGACAATATATAAAAACACCAGCCTCACCCCTTTAAAGACTTAATTTGTTCAGACTACACTAGATTATGATTTTGTTTCTGGTATCAATCATTAAAAATGTTACATTGAGTTTACCTTGTAGCTCTAATGGGCAGTAAAGCCAAAATCTTAACTCAAGGTCCACCTACTGGCAGTGTAAGATGTGGACAGCCTCCTTGATCTTTTTCTTGCTGTTCACTGACTTTTAGTCGATGATCAATACCGTGATTGGTTTTAGTGTGATGTTTGTGTACAAGAGTTTTTTATGAGAAACTCTAACTTCATTCATTTAGGTTGTAGTTAAGCTTGTTACTCTTCTGCAGCTCAGTACAGGGGCGGGTGGATGAAGACTTCCATCTAGTGACTGAAAATCTTAACACTGTGTTTCTAATGACAGGAAACTGTTGCTCTCTAGATTTTAGACCTTTTAAGTAAATGCAGTGTGATAGAACTTGTTCCCTGACTCATGTCCTCCTTTGGCCTGTTGTTACCATGTGTCTCAATAGACCAGAGGGGGGCAGTATTAACTCACTGCAGGGTCAGAGACATCATAAAGTATGTGTGTGTGTTACTTTGTGTACATTGCCAGTGCAGCTCTCTACTGAAACTTTTCTGAATGTTCAGTTCCTCATGAGAACCGTGAGTACAGTGGGCCGTGCTGTCTTCAGTCAGTAAGAGCATTTATTCTTTATTAGTACAACTGGATGTTTCAGCACCTCCTGGTTTGATGCGAGAACAGATTAAAGAGGCAAAACATTAAAAATTATTCCCACATGAATGTGACATTGATTTGACTAATAAAAATGCTAAAATAGTTACTTAATTTGGCTTTATTCTCAAATTAAATAAATATTTTTACAGGACGTTGAGAGTAGCGATACTGAGAAGATAATGTGTTTGGCCATACTGTTACATCACATTATGACCTCATAATAATTACACTGATGCTGATTTAATTTTGTTTTTATCGTTAGTATCATTAAATGATTAGGTGAGCCACATTCAGCTGATCTGATTTCATCCAATTTGTTGTTTGTGATTTGTTGCGTACCTTCCCTATTTTACACCCAATGGTAGTTTAAGATTTTGTGAACATTTTTATTTCTATTTCTTAAAAATATCTGTCATTTAGCTTTCCTTTACACTATATAGATCCTTTCTAGTGGAAAAATATTCTCCACAAAGCTTTTACTTTTCCTTAATTATGCTGTTTTCACATTAAGCGCTTTATAATTTTAATCTCCAAACAGTTATCACGACATTGATAAACTGTGTGTGTGTTAGACTTTAAAGTGAGAATAGGTGAAGTGAAAGTGAGAATGTAAACAGAAAACAGAACAAATACAGCCAAGAGTGGCAGTGAACAGGGTCCAGGCAGGTTGTGTCAGGAATTGAAAACACATACAGAATGACCACCTTGCCCACTTGAGGATTTGAAACCTGGACCTTTGACCTTTTTGGAACAAGACATTTTTTTAAAAATTTTGATGTTTTGTAATAAGTCACACACACATTAATCAATCATTACCAAATGTCTGAGTCAGGACCTCAGTGGGTAGAATTTGCAACCCACCACCGACAGTTTATGCTGATGATGATGCAAACTTTGGACAGATGTTACCTACTAACCTACTTTGATACATGTTAAATTTAAAAAGAATACTGTGTCTATGTTTTGTTTATTGTTCTTCATTTTTTGGCCTTTTATTGCCTTTAATTGATAGAGACAGATTAAGAGTGACAGGAAGGTGAGGGGGGAGAGAGAGATGACACACACCAAAGGGTCACAGCTCAGATTCGAACCCGTGGCTTCTGCAGCAAAGACAGCATTGGTATGTGGAGCACTGGCTTTACGAGGTGACCTTTCCAGGCCCCTAGTTCCTCATGTATTTATGAAAATCAAAACCGCAGCAAATAATCAATCGTTGATTGGCGAGTTATCTCTTCCATCAAATCTAACAGCTTTTTCTCTGTGTAACTGAAAGTCTGTTGGTTAACACTGTTGAGTAATTTCTTGCCTTACACACACACACACACA